CTTAAATATTTAACCTTTTTTACATTAAATTCGTATTTATTTAGGTTTAAATAGAAGCCGGCGTTTAATAACTTAATAAGGACTAAACGTACCTTTTATTCGTAATCTTTTAAGGAATTAAAAGAGTAAATAAATATATCGTTTATATAAACGGTATAAAACGAATTTAAATAATTACAGAAAATATAATTAATATACCGTTAAAACGTAACCAGCGCGCTATTTAGCCTAAATAATATAATTAATTATTCGAATAATTTATACCACGTCCGAAATATTATTTTCCCCTCTTTTCCTTCTATTATACGAATTTTATAAAAGGTTTATACGATATTTATTTTAATAAATTATTTTATTCTTTTTAAAATATAAAATATATCCTTAATTAACGGTAATAAATAATAGTCCGCTTTCGTAATAATATTAAATATATAATAATTATAATAGAAGTAGAATTTACCTCCGGATTTGCGTATAAATAAAATTAGGGCCCCCGCTTTTAAATTATTAACTTAAATAAACCCTTTATTTAATAAATCTTTTAGCGTCTTTTTAAAAATTAAGAACTCTTCCTTCGTTATATTATAAAACGGTCTAAATAGGATAGGGAATTCCTTACCGTCTTTATCCTTTTTAATTATAATTTTATAATTTATACTAAAACGATAAAGGTTTAATTTATCGGCGTTTTTTTTTATTTAGAATAGTATTAAATTATAGTATTTTTTAGGGATTTTCGCCTTTAATTTTACTTCGGTATATACCTTTTTTAATTTTAACGCCTTTTCGATATCCTTTAAATTAATTACGAAAATAATTTCTTTAATTATTCGATTATTAAACTTTTTTCTTAATTTACGAATATAGCCTATAAAGGTAATAATTAAAATATATATAATAGATTTTAAATCGGCGATAAACGGTATATTAAGTATTTATTTTCTATTAATATAAAGAATTTAATAATTAATAACGCTTATAAATAGGCGTTTTTCGTAAGGGATGGAATATATTCGTATAACCTTAAATTAAAGTTTATTTAATATAATAGGGAATTTGAGTAATAGGACGATATAGGTGTAAATAGGATGAATATAGCTATTTATTTCGGTTAAAAATTAGATTATATTTTGGATAGAAATTCCTTCTATAGTAGTAAACGCTCCTTTTATAGTACGAAATAGAATAGGGATAATTAGAATTTAAAATTCTTTAATAACTTTTTTATTAATTACGGTATAATATTAGTAACCCTTATCGACGAAGATATAGAATAAATTACGATTATTAATAATAAATAGAATTAAAATAGGTTTTATTTCTATTTTTAATTTAAAATCCTTTATTTTATTTAATATTTTTATTTTTAATTCTAAGGCCCGACTTTATATTAGAGTTAAATTTTTGCCTATTATTCGGGGGCGGAGTTATAGGCTTCGTCGTTATCGTTATCCTTTAAGAACGGAGGGATTTTAATAACGGTAGTTTAAATACATATTCCGTTAAAGGAAGGGGGGACGGTTGGCCAGTACGGATAGGCTAAAATACAATATCTAGAGGCGCTATAATATATATATAGGTTATTATTTCGACGACGTTAACGCTCTTTATCCAATATTTATTTAACGCACTTAGTAGAAGTAAAGGTAAAAACGTTTACGTTAGAGCCGTTTCGACCTTATCCGCTTCGATTATAAATTATATATATAATATTTATAATAATATTTCTATTTACGTTAATTAGGCGTTAAATAAAGGTTATAAGAGTAGGATGGGGTGCGATACGTAGGGTATAAAAAACGGTAGGATAGTTAATAAAAGTGGCGTTAGGGATATAAAGTCCGTTATTTTTAATTTTACTTTTTTAATTATATTAATATCGACGGTAATTTTCTTTAAATTTTATTATTTATTTATATTTGAATATATAATATTAAAATTATTTGAAATATTCGTAGTAATCGTTAGAGAAGGTAATTATAAATATTTTATTATATTATTTTTTATTAAAAACGTAGTAGAAATAGTTTAATTTAGCGGGATTCTCCTATAAATAACCGTTTATTTTGAATATTTTATTATTGAAATTAGCTAAGAAGGTGGTAAATGGTTCGCTATCCTTTTAGTATATACGGGCGAATTTATCGAAGGCCGCTTTTTAATTTTAATAGGAGTTAAAGATCGTACGAATTTACTCGAGGAATTTAATTAGGTTTTTTTTATTACGTATAATTATAGTAATTTAAAATCCTTTTAATTATTAGTTATATTCGGTAGGAAGCGTATTAATAATTTTATATTAAGTAGTATTCGGGTTATTGCGAAATCTTTATTTAATATCGCTATTATATACTATAATAAATTTATTAAAAAAGAAGCCGAAGGTATAGGGTTAGTTATTTTATTTGGGGAATTTTAATTATTTTTTACAATAGGGAGTTGAATTCGTATTATCGTTAGAATTATTATTAATTAGGGTTTTGGAAGGGGATTTCTTTTTACGAACGGAATATTTAATAATTCCGAAATTTAAATAAGGGGTAAGGGTATTAAAAATAGGGGTAATATTAAATAAAAGGGATTTAATATAATCCCTAAGGGTTATACTATTTTTAAGGGCTCTAATTAAATTTTTAATTAGGCTTTCACTATTGCCGTTATTATTTGGTATATTATTTTAGGAGTCGTAAAACTCCTTTATATTATTAATATCTATATTATTGAGTCCGATTATAGTGTCGAAAAATGCCGCAATACCGCGCTTAAAATTATTGGTCTTCTACTTATAAAAATTATTGTCCGCTTATTGAATTTATTTTTTCTATCCGCTTTTTAGATGGTAGAATTTAATATAAGGGGTATAGTATAATTAGTATAAATATTGGGTTTTAATGAATCGATAAGGTTCTACGAAGAGGGAAAGGGAGGAAGGGAGGCGCCCTTTGGGCGGTATTGGTTAGCTATCCTTTTAAGGACCGGGTACGGGCTACTCCGCTTACCGTGGCGGCAAGGACCGCAATTGGCGGCCCGACTGGCGGCGCGACTAGTAGTGCCAGTCAAACTCAGCCACGGGCATCAGCCCCATGATAGTTATATTATTAATTGTATTAATTTAAATTAATTAAGGAAATTCGGGTTGGAAATTAATAATAACGATTTTTATATAGATTCGAAGTTTACCGTCGATAATATTAAAAGGTATAATATATTAAATATATTAAATACTTTATACTACTAAGAATTCCCCCCTCTATTTAAGAATTATTAAAATTTTTACCTTTATCCTTTTTAAAAAATATTTCGTTAAATTAAAAGGGAGTATTTTTAAAATTATAATATAAAAGGATTGTAAAAGTAAGTAAATTAGGAAGAATATTAAAGAATTATCCCCTTCGATTTTATATAAATATATATTTATAAATTTAATATAATAGGTTATTATTTTAAAAGTAAGGTACGCTTTATTATAAAAGGAGATTAATAACTTTAAGATTTATAGGATACTTACGCGGCTACCTTAGCGATTCGTACCTTCTATATTATAATAATTATTATAAATTATTTTAATTTCGAATTTAAATAATATAATACTATTAACGCTTTTATTAATACCCTTTTTAATAAATTTATTTATATACGAATATTATTAAAATATACCCGATAAAGTAAAATTATTAAATTATTACGCGTCCTCTATAATTTTTAACGCTCTCCTTTATTATAATAATACGAATTTATTAAAATTCTTATTACCGCTAATTTAATCCCTATCCCTATAGAACCCTATATATTTATTTATTAAAATATAGTAATCTTCTTCTACATCGATAATATTATTCTTACCTACCGAAATAAAAATAAATACGACGTTATTAAAATTATTAATATTCTAAAAGGTTATTATTAATTAATAGGCGGTAATAATATTTAATAATTTTTAAGTATTAAAATTATTCGAAACCGAATAAAGCGGTTAATTTAATTATTTTAACGCGAATATATTAAAAAGATTATAAAGAAATTTTAATAATCCCGGTCGTTTCCCTAAATTCTTATAAATATTAAGGAACTCCTCCCTTCTAAAAGTACCGCTAACTTTAAATCCGTTAAAATATATTAAAAGGTAATCGGCGAGATTATATACGCGCTAATTATTACTAAACTCGACGGCATTTTTACCGGCTCTAAATTATTCTATTTCCTTATTAATTTTAACGGTATTTATTATACTACCGCTAACCAATTACTTACTTATTTTAAGGGTACCGAGGATTATATACTTTAATTAGGGGGTAGTAATTTATTTTTAATTTTAATTAACGCCTCCTATACCGATAATATTTTAAATCGATAAAATTTATAAGGATTTACTATATAATTATTAGGTAGAATTATCGATTAGCGAATTAATAAATAAAATATTATTATTATTTTTATTACCGAGGTTGAATTATTATCCTTATTATAAAGGGTTTATAAAAATTTATAGGTAAAATATTGATTCGATTCGCTAATTTTTAATTTAGGAATTAACGATAAAAGTATCCTATTAAAATATAATAACGTTTAAACGATTTATTTAATTACTAAAGAAAATATTAAACTTTAAATTAAATTTAAATATATCGATATTTATAATTATTAATTCCGAAAAGGATAATAACGTAATATATTTAATATATATTATATATTTATAACCGAAATAGTCGCCGACGGGTTAACGAAAATATTAATTATAGAGAAATATAAGGAATTTATTCGCTAAATAAATTTTATAAATATTTCGAATTTGAGGAAGGAGAAGGAGAAGGTATTAAAATTAATTAACGCGAATATATTAATAATCTAATTCTAGCGGGGATAAAATACTTTAAAGAAGTAAAAAAGAAGGATAATATTATTATAAATAATTATCGATTTATATTATTCTATTAAAATAACCTTTATAAAATAAAAGAATTTTGTATAATATTTATAAGAAGGAAAAAAGGTAAAAAATTTAGCGCCGACGGGATTCGAACCCGCAACCTTTAAAGATGGTTATTAAAAATGATCCAGAAAATATATTATTAAATATAATTTAAAAATACTATACAATAATTTAATATAGGACTTTAACGTTCTAATTATTAAACTACGGCGCCCAGCCGATTATTAGAAATTAATACCGCGGACCTTCTAAATATAGTACGATTAATAGGCGATACCTTTAAAAGCGATTATTTAAGGATTTATTAATTTTAAAAGTATAGAATCTAGGAATAGTTTTATTTAGGCGCCTTTAATTAGCTTTTTAATATACGCTAGTATAATTGGGGGGGTATATTAGATATAGGGGTGGGTTTCTTGTTACCGCCTTTCTTATATAATTTAGAGTGTTGGGTAAAACCCTGATTTCTATGTACGGGATTTCCTAATCACAGAACAGATTCTACACAATATACACTCTGCACCCTCATTCTCAATACCCCTGTATTGCTGCTATTCTACAGAAGCCCACTCCATCCAACGTTGAAACAAAGTCCAATTTCATCCAATCAGAAATTTCCTTCCCTTCTTTCCTAACCCCTGCCGCAATGGCCTGTGCGCCAGGTCGAATTCTCCCCACAGTGTTAACCAAACGGAGTGCCTGCGCAAGTGGAAGCGCTGCGGCCGCGGTGCGTGTGTGCAACCACCTGCACCCCTGTCCCCGATGATGACAGCCAGATGAAGCTTCGTGGCCGTTTTAGCGACACCACAGCAGGTGCCCTGTGTGTCTGTGTGTGTACCTTGACGGGAGCTTCCGATTTCACACACCTCAACCTCAGCAACATCCATCAACATTGAACGACGAACCTCGCGACACCGAATATCGATTCGAACAATTACCGGCTACCGCAAACGGTCGAGCTTAAATACGAATCAATTCCACATACAACAAACCAACAACAAAACAACATACAACAATGGGTGGAAAACGCAAAAACGCAGCCGCCCGCGGTGTCTCCCCCTCCCCCGAAGCTTCAGCAACATCATCAGCGACAGTAACCACCAAAGTCCAACCTAAAGAATCCGCTCCTCCCATTGCCACGACAAGCAATGTGTTCTCTACCAGCACTCAGATTGAGCCTACCACTTCAACCACCTCCTCAACGAGCTCCAAAACCCCAGCAACCAAGAGCTTGAGCAGCGCACAAGGGCAGCAAGGATGGAACAACGTAGTCAGCAACTTGCTGGCGCACTACCAGGACACGACCCCTCAACGGACCAAGCTGATTGATGCCTTCATGGCCTTTCTGGTGGTGGTGGGCGGGTTGCAGTTTTTGTATTGTGTTTTGGCTGGGAACTATGTAAGAACACCACCACGACACCATATTGCATACCTATGTTTTTGGGATTCCACGTTTTGATGTAAGTATGGAAAAGAGCATTGGCTAACGAGACAATACGAATTATGACAGCCCTTCAACGCCTTCCTCTCGGGCTTCTCAGCAACCGTCGGCCAGTTCGTCCTCACAGCCTCGCTACGGATCCAGACGACCGAGGCGAACAAGAGTGATTTCCCTTCGGTGTCGCCTGAACGGTACGTCTCGTACCCTTCCACCAAAGATGGTTCAACTGGGTAGCATGCTAACTCGGTACCTTGGTGGTTATAGAGCCTTTGCCGATTACCTGGTCTGCAGTTTGATTCTGCATTTCTTCTGCGTCAACTTTATCAACTAGACCAATACACCGAAAGAGGGAATACGGCGACAGAGCAAGCTAGCAAGGATTAAAAACGTACGAGTGGGAGTGGTAGACTTAGGGGTAGGACATGTTACCAGTTGATGGGTGGGAATAATCAAAGAACATGACGGGAACGAGCAAGCAAGCAAATGAACAGAACCGTCAGAATTGCCAAGCAAGCCAGCAAGCCAGCAAGCCAGCGGAAAACAAGATCAAAGGCGGGTGAATATGTGGTCAAATATGACTGGCGATTATAATACCTTTCTTCTCTTCGCGATTTATAGTTATATACAAAGGATTGCTTCCAACTTCCACGCTCAGTTCACCTCGGCTTGTAGACGCCTGCCTAGCCTGAAAGGCTCCCAATACCCTACTTCAAGAAGCAACTAGCTCTCGCCCGCTTCAGGTGTTTCTTCCCCATGCGCACTACCAGGCGGAGGCGACGACACTGCCTTGGGTGGTCCGCCCCTGGGAGGACCACCCATTGGCGGCGGTGGTACTGGTGTGTTTTTCCTGCTAGGCGCATTATCCAATTCTCTACTCTTCTTCTCCTGCTCCTTGAAGTAATCGTCCATTGAGCCCAGTCCTGCCGCTCTGGCCGGTCTTTCCTTCTTCTTTCCTCTAGGCGGTGCGGAAGCGACCGGCGCGCCGCCAAATGGTGCTGTCGGGGGTGGTGGTGTACCAACCATCTGCGCTGGTATGAGGAACTCACCACCGCCGACGGGAGGTGGCGGAGGGGAAGTCGTAGTGCCGGGTGTGTATTGGCCAGCTACTGGCGGTGCTGCGCCCGGGTTATATCCATACTGAGGTTGCTGTTGTCCATATTGTTGCGGCTGCTGTCCGTATCCATACTGCTCCGAGTCGCCATCGAACATCGTCTCGCCGGGCGCATGCACAGGCTCGCTTAGGGGCGCTGGCAGCCGGTGCAGAGCGCCGTAACCTAGCACGCAGCCGAGAGCACCCTCACCACCCCATTCCCTGCTGGGCTGGATGGTCACCTCGCGGGTGACGTTGTATTCGTTGTTGTAGATGTAGAGGCGCAGGGGGCGGCCGATGTGGTCCTCCACTAGTTCGCTGAGCCCGCTCTCGCCGTGAAGGACACCCTCGGGGGTGCCTAGGATGTAGTCGCTGTAGGGGAGAAGACCGGCGATGTCGGCAGGAGAGTTGGCGGGGACGTCGAGAACGTGCCAGATGTTGGTGACGACGGAGAGGGCGGTCCATTGGAGGGTGAGGCCGAGGGAGGCAGTGTCGGCGGGAACGGGGATGTGGAGTGCTCGTGTTCTTTGGCCCTGTTTGTTTGTAGAAGATATCAGCATCAGGTGTAATTAGCAGGTTCGTGTTGGCTACGTACCTTTGCGCTCCAAAGTCCCAGCTGCACAACACCGCCAGCGCAGTTCCGTACTTCTTGGGCGAAGAGTCTCGGGTCGGAGTCGTCCTGGAGTAGAGGTGTGTTAGACTTGTAGCTTTCTCAACTTCCAGAGCTTGAAACATACAATCATGCGCCCATTGATTCCGACAACAAAGTCAAACCATGGTTCAATGGCGAGGTCTGGGTTGGTGTTGCGCAAAACCTGGAAGCCAAATCCGCCGGGCTGGTTCTCCTTGGACGTAGGCGCATCGCCATCAAGCCGGGATATGAACCGGTTGAGGGCGCTGAACATTGTCGTCATTGTCGTAGCTCTTGGTGTGTAGTCAAACGGCGTTGGAAGTTTTGGGTCTGAGTTGCGTGATCCAGCGGCCCGCGTATGTTGATCGTGACAAGAGTTGAGATGGAAGTCGGCGGCGGCATGAAGCGACCCTGGCTTTACAGCAGCATGAGACCTGGGAGCTCCGTGATGCCCTGGACCCCGACCGTGTGCCACCGTGGACGTTGACGAACTACGGCCCCACTTCAGCCCAGCGCTCCTGCCGGCGTGGACCTTGATGGTCAAAGCTCCCAATTCCAGGCACACTGTGGGGATTGCGCAAATCCGAGTGGGGCATCTGGATTGGGGAAAAAGACGAGTCCTTGCGACTTACACGGTGCATCATGAACGCGACATGTCGCAGGTATCCGGTACTTTTCACGTCTTTCTCACGCTGACTTTAGTTTTGAAATCAGTTCATCACCTTTGCATCTTTTTCGAAGGGGTTTGATTCTTCAACCACAGCTGAGGAAGAATACAAGAACCAAGAGAATTATCGCATATCACCACTGAGCGTCATCCCCTCCTTCATCTTGACCAGTCCTCTACAACGGATCTCGTCACACTTCCAAAGACCAATCAACAGCACCCTCACAAACAACAACACGAAAAACTCAACAACACCGAGTCCATCACGATCACAGACACCAACACCATGGGTGGCCCCATATTCCTTCCACCCGGGGATAGATACCCCCTAGACGAGAACTGCCACCACTACACCAAACTCGCCCAAGTCCCCTGGGACATACAAAAATACTGGCACCAGCGCTTCTCCATCTTCTCCTTCTACGACTGGGACATCCACCTGACCGACAGCGCCTGGTTCGGCGTGACGCCCGAGCCCGTGGCAACACGCATCGCCCACGATCTTTCCACACACCCAATCGCCAAGGGAAAGAGGGTATTAATTGACTTGTTTGGCGGTGCGGGAGGGAATGTGATTGCTTTTGCTTTGTCCCAGGAAGAGGGGGAAGAAGAAAAACAAAGATGGGATCGCATCATTGCCATCGAAAAGGACCAGTCTACGCTGGCGTGTGCGCAGCATAATGCCGAGGTGTATGGTGTTTTGGACAGGATTGAGTGGGTGCATGGGGATTCGTTTGAGGTAATGAGAAGGTTTTGGGATTTTCACGGGCAGCACTCAGGACAGACGGAGAAGGAGCCGGGAGAGGAGGAGAAAGATGAAACACTGGACGAATTGTTGGAGGGACTCAACCCGGCAGAATGCCTCGTCTTCGCCTCACCACCCTGGGGCGGCGTCTCGTATCGGGACCAAGAAGTGTTTGATCTGAGCAAGATGGAGCCGTATAACTTGGAGCAGTTGTACGAGGCTTGTTCTTCATCACCATCATCCGCAGCAACCGGGGAGGGAGAGGGACAGGGGCAGAAGCAAATCCTACCGCAAGCCCTCTTCCTACCGCGACAAAGCGACCTAAACCAAATCGCCGCCTTGGTACCAGATGGTGCTCCCAAGGTTGATGTAGTGCAGTACTGTCAAAAGGGAGCGAGTAAAGCGTTGGTTGCTTATTTGCCGGGGAATATCGTTGCCTCTGAACAGAAGAACGAGAAGCAAAGCGAAAGGGGTCAGAAGAGGAAACATCACGACGAAGAGCAGGAGCAGGAGCAGGGGCAGGAGCAGGAGGAGCAACAAGAGCAGCAGCAACAGGAACAACAACAACCACCAGCTCCCGAACTCCTCCCCGAGGCACCGGTTGAGGAGGAGGAGACGTCAATGTCACACGATGCCTCCT